ATATATATGTATGTATGTGTGTGTGTGTGTGTGTGTGTGTGTTTGTATATATTTATGTACATGTATGTATGTATGTATGTATAGATGCAATATGCATTCAATAGTAACACACCTTGATGATTCCAACTCCTAGTTTATTAGCGCTCCCTTCGAAGCCGATAGCAATGGTCATCGTGACAGTAGCGATGATATTAAGATACACTTTTTTGTATGTTGCTATAAAGTAGGATACTTGCATTCATCAAGAAGCGTAGTTCCGTTTGTGTCGGTGTACACTTCGATGGAGGCTTATTTTTTAACTATATCTAAGAGTATATAATGCCGATGTTTTAGCATAAAAAGCCGGTTGTCGTCCATTGCTGCGTGGTCCAAAATATTATATATAAAATGTTGATCCAACATCACATTCAAGTAAATATACTTATCTGTAGTCAATGGTAAGTAGAGTCGACGAACGAGATATATTTGCTACTCTGCTCTAGGCACTGCTTGCTAGTTCACAAGCCTGGATCAGACCAAAAAACAAACGGAGACTAATAGTTTTAGTTGAGTACCGATTACTATACATTAGTAAATAGTTATTTCAATTTGGAAAAAAATTATGTCTACCGAGCCAATTAGCGCTACATACCAGTTACACCGAGCGGAGCTTGACGCATAGTGTGTTATACTCTAGCGTCGCAATCTTTGGCTACGCAAGTAATCATTTAAGTCAATACTTCTCAAGCACATAGTATATATTACGCTCTGTATACCGATACATGGATATATGAGCCTTCACATACATATTTGATCCATCTGGCAACCATGGCGTTTAAGGATCATGACAAGAAACCAGCTGAGCTAGTAGTCTCGGGAGAGGCCTTATCTGTTGTGGATTCATGGCTGGGCGTATGTGATGGGGGGGATATACCAGTCATAATGCCCGTAGAAAGGCCTAGGAAGTATGTCTCAGTATACAATTATAGTCGTTGGTGATGCATTCTTTATAGTGCGGTCATATATCTTATCGTATTTCGTCTGCAATGCAATCCAGCCCAGGTGTAGAATATTCCTACGTGAGTTTAGGAGATTTCTCATAGGTTTGTATTGTGAATGTAAGTATGTCTTCGGTGTGTATTTTACAGCCTGCTTATCCTTAGGTGACCACGCTCACTTCGAACATGTGTTCTAGGTGTCGTTGCTACAATTGGGAATATGGTTGTCCTAGATTTAATTATGATATACACAAGCATGTGAAATCGTCTCAATTCATAGTACGATAGGTTGCTAGAGTATGTGGGTGCACATACACAAACAATATTTTCTTAACGATTTATTGTCTGTGTCTGTGTGTCCGTGTATATATATATACAAATATATATATATATATATATAAATATGTGTGTGTGTGTGTGTATGTATGTATGTATATATATATATATATATATATATATATATATGTATATATATATATATATATATATATATATATACATATATACGCGTGTGTGTGTGTGTGTGTTTATATATATATTATGCATGTATGTATGTCTGTATGTATGTAGTAAGTATGTATGTATATATAAATGTATGAATGCATATATGTGTATATATACATACATACATATATATATATATATATATATATATATATATATATATATATATATATATATATATATATATATATATATATATATATATATATATATATATAT